TAGAACAGCCATTTAACGAAAGAGTCGTCCGAGGTTTTTTAAATTTTTTCTTTCAATTCTTAAAATCTTTTTGAAAGTCATTATAAATGACTTGTAGAGTCATAGCCCGCTTAGATTTATTTGAGAACATTTTATTACATATTAATCAATTTTTAGTTTAGGATTTTCAGCATCTAATTTACTAATCCCCGTTTCTCCCCCCTATACTTTCTGCATTCTCATCTATGCGTGTGTCCAGGTGTTACACGTATGGGTGAGAAACGGTTAGTATGGGTTTAGTTTTAAGTTTTTACCCCCCATTTGGCGTCTGTCATTGTGCTAGTGATTGCACGGTATACATTGCACATGTGTGTGCGTCTAGGTGTGTGCATTGTACATCGTTTCGCGACACGTAATACCGCGCTTATTATTTTTTAAAGTTATCGAATAAAAATAACATGTAGAGTTACTCGTACGGTACGAACTTTTTTTTTAACAATCGTTTTGCATAGTAGAGTTACCGCATTTATTTGTGGAAACTATGATATACTCGTATGTAACTAGTATGCAATATATACTAGTTTATACTTGTATTTTTGCTTCAGTCATTTATGCAATGATCACTAGCCTTGACAGACGATTACAGCAATTGGTACGTACTCCTATAAATTTAGAAAACGCGTTTGAATTGGGGTGTCGGAGGTGCCCCGGGGCATGCTCTCTAGTTTAGGCTTTTGCACCCTGGTGGTATGTGTGAGAATCGTGGAATGAGTGGGTAGGTTTGCATGTATATTTTTTTAGAGCGAATGTGAAACTTTAATTATAAGTAGGTAAGACCCCGGAATGACACGTGGGATACTTGCACTTTTCAGTGCGAGTCCCCACCTCTTGGTTTTATATGGAATTGTCACAAAATTATATCTTTTTATTTTATCTTGCTTGACTTGTAAATCTTTTTTGTGACAATTCTGTAATATGAATTATGTATCATGATTTAAAGGGATTTGCAACCATTTAAAAAACTAATTTCTATTTCGATTTATCTCGAACGAGATAGAGTCGAAATCAAATCCGCAAAACCTTTGATGATTTGATACTTAGTTTTAAGTATTATAACTATCACTTCGCACTATCGCGACTTAGTCTTTGAGAAATGTTTCATATAATTCAATATAAAGAATAAATTAAATAAAAATATTGCAAAGAAATGCATTGCATTTTTGGTATTATTTTTATTTCAATTCGATTATATTACTCTCAATAATAAAAGTGCGAAGTGTTAATAGGTCATCAATTAACATAATTAACTGCTCGGACATTCGATTAAATGTGCTCGTGTAATATGTGCACAGTCGAAGAACTTTTAAGTTCGTTGATTGTCCACGAGCTAGGATAGCTAACGGAAAACGCGAAGTTATTTTGTAATAATTATTAAATAGAGTTAATTAACGCGCGAACATCGGAATTATTTGTAAAAGATGTATGACAGAAAATAAATGGAATTATTTCATATATATATATATATTGTAATGTGAAATGTATTTCATTTGTATTAGTATTATAAGCAGTTGAGAGTAATTGGGTGAAAATGTCTTTAAGTCGTTTCTAAATTGTACGACCATGATCTGGCATATTGTAACGGTTTGGTATTAGAATAGAATCGATACTTTACATAGTTAATAATATTCCTTTCGGCGATGAGATATCTCTCGACCAAAAGGTAATAATTATTTTCTATGTAAAAAGCTCAGGATGTTTTACTAATCACATTTTTTTTTCAGGGTTGTGTTAGGGTCGGTTAGGTTTTTTTCCATTTATAATCAGGGACGATTCTAATTCTATATCATTAATCGTTGTAATATGCCAAATTATGCGAATACTTTTTGGAACGATTGACGTTTTTGGTCAAAGATTCTATTCGTGCTCGCACGTAGGGAATGTCCGACAGTAGGCTTGAAGAAAGAAGAGGCTAAAAGCCGAAGAGGCCCCCACAAATTTGTGGTATCAAGTGGGCAACTACAGACTTAATGAGTTATTTTCAAATTCAACAGCATGGTTGAATCTTTTGAGAATAGTTCGTTGGTCATTTGATATTTTTATTGATTGTTTTTTTCTTTGCTCGTCAATAATTTATAGTGGTTATTAAGAATGGAGATAATTAATAGAGTTTTCTTTTTGTTACAGGTGAACGTCGTTGGATTTGCCATACCACATACCAAACACCAAACATAATTTTTCCTAAAAATAAATCGAGTATTAGAAAAACTTGATTTTATAAATGATATTTCATTTAAAATACTTTAAAATCATGATAGAGTACAATACCATTCCCAAATTCCCGCTCCAATATCATACCATTTTCTAATTTACACACATTTTCTTTCTTCATTTAATTCGTAGAAACTAATTATGTTATAATGTTTTTTAATATCTCTTATATTTTTCTAGGTACCAATGGTAAGATTTAATCAATAATTGTTGAAACTGAATTTTTATTTCATTATTTGTTTCAGGAGATGATTAATTCTAATACATTTGTAAGTATTGGCTTTTGAACTAAAAGAAGAACATGCCTTTGATGCATTCATTGCATCTTAACAGACTTAAAATAATCTTTTCTTTTTCTTTTTCAGGGTCGTTTCCAGTTTCTTTTTTCAATGGGTAGCGGGTAGATTCTTTCTTTTTGAAGAAAGGTTTACTTCAGGGATGCGACCCTGCCCACGCGAGCCATGATTTTCTCTTTTTTCCATTGATTGGGAGAAAACATGTCTTTACCTAGAATTCCCCAACACCCTCCTCCCCCCACCACCACGCCAAACGATCCTATGATTAATATTTTGTTGGCAGGATGAATTATGGAGACGATGCAAAATTCTTTTCAAGAAGAGGTGAAAGAGGGATCTAAGGTGGACTGAGGTATGGTAAACAGTAGTATTTTAATATGTTTATTACTTTAATATTGCATCGCACTCGTGAGAAAAATCATTATTAATGCACTTTCGTGTTTTTACAAGTACCATGGATCAGTCCAAATTTTTACAGGTACCATAGATTATTCATTGCATCTTTGCAAATCTAAAATAATATTTTCTGTTTCTTCTTAAGGTTCGTTTTTAGGGCCACTTTTCTTCTTCTTTCCTACCCCTTGTTTTTTTTTGTTGCAGGTTCAATAGGAGAAAGATCACACGAGGATCAGACGAGGACTTAGTTATAATAAAGGATAGTATAAGATAATTATTTGTATAATTAAATGTGTGTGTGTATAATTTTCATCTGTTTATTCTTCTGCCCGTAGCATCGTATATAATTATTTTAATATATTATTAATGTATTTTTAATGTATTTTATTTGTTCATAGGTTCCATGTTATTTCGATTCTATTCATGTTTCACTCCTCGTTCATCATTTTGTTATTTGGTATTCAAACGTTTCTCTTCATTCTCGATAGTAATTGTAAGGATTTTTCGAATAAAACTCTTAGGGTGGGGCCTAAGAGTGGGACTCATTAAAAAATGTTCTCGGGGTGATCATTTTCTTTCTTTTCAATTTAATTCGGATGTGGACATTTTCAGGATGCACATCTCTTGTGGGTCTTCAGTAGCGGTTACCTCCTCGTGGTTAGACCCGGGCAATGGTATTTTACTTTCTATGTAATGTTTAACATATTATATATGCTATACATTCCATTGCAAGTAAAATCCAGCCAAAGACCGCTTACCATAAACATTATATATGTAATTAGTTTCTTTTAACTTCCTTATTAATACCATATTCTTTTATCCCTTTCCTTAGTTCCTTATATCCATTCAATATACAGAAACTAATTACTTAATAATGTTTTTTAATAATTTTGTAATCATTTTTAACAAGTTTGTAAATAGAGGAAACTATTTTTAAAAAAAGTACTGGAAGTATTAGTTCATAAGTACTATAGAAATGAACTCGCATGTATGAATATGTGTGAGTGTGTGTATTTTGGTTTTTTAATAAATTATCTACACTATATAAGTATTCATATTATAATTATTATTTTATACATAATAATCGTTAAATTATTTAAAAAAAAAAATAATCAGAAAATCTGAACACCATTTTACACAGCACACATGCAGACAATAGGTTAGTGTGGAAGCCGAATACACACCAATCATGCGTATATTTGTAAATCAGTAATAAAGATAGGAGCTTTTATTTTACCACAAGTTTTAAAGGGCGCCGTTATAGGAAACTAATTTTTCACAAATATTATTTAAAAGGTTTCCGACATTGAATGTACCAGGCACAATTCTTAATCGATTTTGATGATCAAAATCTCATTTAAAAGATGAAGGTTCAAATGTTTAAATGTTTAATTCGAATTATTAAACAAACTTTATTTTTACGCTTAAACAATTCTTGAAAAAACAGTTTGTTTTTAAGCAATTTTTTTTACAAAGAATAATGCTTTTAAATTACGTAATCAAAAACTTTTACCTTTAATTTGTATTTTAGTTGAATATTACTCTTAGTTGAATAGTAATAAATAATTTACCATATTTTTTAGATGCATGCATGCATATAATTATGTATGCATAATTCGTAATATATGCGGAATAATTCGTAATATACGTGGAATAATTTTCTATTATAATAAAATATAAAGAAAAACAACTTATATAAATGTACATCGTTATTATCAATTTAATATAGTTGTGTATATCATTACAATATGATTGATTAAAATTATATTAACTTCGTATATCTTAAACTGACATCGGGCAATATAATTCAATAAAAATATTTCATTTAACAATTGTTTGACGTATTTATTTAGATGAATTTATTTCTTTAATATCACACGTACTTGCCATAAAAAAGACTATTATATTTATACGTTTTATATCAAACGAAACATTTTAACATTATCTTTTTTTTGTTTCAAATCAATATTTTTAGTAACTTTTAACAACACATCTACGCATAAAGTGAATAAGTAAGGAACTTTGTGTAATGATTTACACTTCAGTTTTTTTCTTTGCGTATTTCTTTGAAGAATGGACAAATTGTACTATTTTGAAAACATTTATAATAACAGCTGTAAAAAAATAAATTTAATATATTCTATTAAATTAAGGTATAAGAAATTAATAGTAAGAACAATTGAATAGACCATTAAATGAAATAAAGCATAACATAAAATAATAAAGAAATTTGTACAATGGATGTTTTGCACGTGCGTATGTGTAATATATGCAACGCACATGCTATGCGTGTATATATATACATATATATATATATATATATATTTTTTTTTTTTAATAATATGTTTTAAATAGTATTTTTTCAATGTTATATTCGCTCAATTAAATAAGCATGTGCTACGTTTTTTTATAGAACAAATCGGATACATACCACACGTGTGAGTTCATATATCTACGTGTATGTGTGACGCATAACTTAACTTTTAATACTGAATCACAGAACCCTGTCAAAGGGTAAACAATAAATTATATTCATACTTAGCTTCATATGTTAATCTATTAGAGAATTTGTGCCTGTCTTTAAAAAGAAAAGATAAAGATTCGCCCAGTCTATTGAAATAGAACACGTCATTTAACTAAAACTTTATCGAAAATAATCAGTTTTCTTTTCTTTTTTAAAGAATTGCCCCAAAATGATTTTGTTTATATCAAATTAATTACTCTTATTAAATTGATTTAATGTAATTTCCTTAAAATTTCATTTCTTAAATAATAATAATAATATAATCAAAGTTATAAGAGAAGTTATAAGAGAAGTTATTACTACAGATATTACTTTCAAACGTTTTTTGCAACCATTTGACAATATTTAAACAAATATCAGTATTAATTTAGCTGATATATAAATTTTATATTCATTACTAAAATTATGAAATAGCAGGTATCTCAAAATTGACACTAAGATTTTCGGACTGTGCTAGTTTAACAATAGTTGATAATTTTACTGCGACACGAGCAGCTTCATCGAGGTCATCGATTGGAACGATTTTTAATCCAGCATTTGCAATCAAAGCTTTAGCCTCATCAACGTTAGTTCCCTGTAATTATATACAAATTTATATTGAACATAATTAAAATATTTTTAACGAAAATAAAAGAAATGAAATGTTAAAATGTTATACCTGTAATCGCACAACTACAGGAATTTTAAGACTAAGTTCCTTGGTTGCAGCTATGATACCCTCTGCGATAACATCGCATCTCATAATACCACCAAAGATATTAACTAAAAGAGCATGTACCTGTAAATTACAAAGAAATTGTATAACAAGTACTTAATTGAAGAAATAAAAAATAAAAATTTTATTGCATAAGGATAATATTAGTTTACTTTAGGATCAGAAGTGATGATTTTAAATGCCTCTTTTACGGCACTGGTAGTTGCGCCACCACCAACGTCAAGAAAATTGGCCGGTTCACCTCCATGTAATTTAATAATATCCATAGTAGCCATAGCTAAACCAGCTCCATTAACCATACAACCAATATTTCCATCAAGCGCAATATAATTCAGGTCATATTTAGCTGCTTCTACTTCTTTAGTATCTTCCTGAGTCCAATCTCTCAATCCAAACAATGATTTTTGTCTAAACTCAGCATTATCATCGAATCTGCATTTGCAATCTAATGCAAAATCTAAAATATGAAAATAATTTAATGTTAACGTGATCAATAATAATAATAAGAATATGATGTTAAATATTACCAATAACATAACTTACAATTTCCATTAATATCTTCAGCTAGAGGATTTACTTCTAAAAGAAGTGCATCCTTCTTAAGGAACATTTCATAAAGATTCATGATAATTTTGGAAATATAATCTTTTACATTATCAAGACCAAGTTTTTTGACAATACGTTCTGCCTGTTCTTTAGTTATACCCTTGTTAACATCGACAGGTTCATACATTATAGCACCAGGATTTGTCGCAGCTACTTCCTCAATATTTACTCCACCTTGGCTTGATGCAATTATTACTGGGCCCTGGTTTATAATTAGATTTAAATTGTTAATAGATATTTATACGTGTAGATTTTTTAAAACTCTAACTACTTACACCGAAGGCACGTTCCATCATTACTGCTAAGTAATATTCTTTACGTGGAAACATGCGTTGTGTTACCATGACCGCATTACAAATTCTACCTGCTTCACCAGTTTGTTTTGTAATTAGTAATTTACCTAACATTTGACTCGCCAGTGCTTTTGCTTCTTCTGGTCTATCAATGAAACAGAAATATTTGAAATTTGAAAATGATTAAAAGAAAAAACCGAAATGAATTTTTTTTTATGATATTACTAGAATTAAAAGAAAATTAAATAACTTACGTTTCGCACATCTTTACACCACTAATACTGGAATCTTTAAAATGACCTTTTCCTCTACCTCCTGCAAGTACTTGAGCTTTTAATACAATATCCTTCGTTTTCAAGTCGGCGGCAAGTTTAGCTGCTTCATCTGGCGTTTTTGCAACGCCAAATTTAGGAGTGGGTACACCAGCTTCATTAAGTAAACTATAACTAATATGTTCATGTACATTTAGATTTCTTACTGTTTGCTTTAAGTTACTTTTGCAGGCTAAGATCTGAAAAAAAAACAAGAAAATTTAAAAACAAGTATAATTAAAATATAAATAAAACATAAATATTTTATATCTATATAATTATTATTATTATTATTATTGTTATATTTTAAACGTGTCTTCTCTAATGAGATAAGACCGTTTCACATAAGTCATTGTAAAAATATTCATTAAAATATTTACACTTTTAAGCTAATTTTAAGCTATAAACATATTACGCAACATTTAAATATAAACCCATAAGCAAAAGATAAGTGACATTGAACTACATTATTCTTTTATGCATTACTTGGCACAGATCTCCTTTTATTGAGTACAAATAAAATTTTATTATTATTATATTATATTTATATAAAATACTATATATGTAATTTTTTAAATATTCAACCCATGTAATAACTATATATATACGCGCGTATATATCATATATATGTATTATATTTAAATAAAAAGTAACTATGGCGCATCAACAATTATATGTAATGCATAAGAACATATATATACAATATGTCAAAAAAAAAAAAGAAGAAAGAAAAAATAATTACCCTGAAGTAATACGTAAAAATAAATAAATGCTTATAGATCGAGATACAATAATTCGAAATTTAAATTTTAAAAAGACAATGGAAAAAGAAAAATCAGCTGGGTGTAGAGGAAAAACCCTTGGACTATTATTCATTGGCAAGTAATTCAATTACGTCTAATCAAATGCGCATAAAGCATGACCTCGATAATGAAAAGATAAAGAGAAGAATGCGGAAAATAGAGGAAGATAATTATATAACTGTCATCGTAAATTTTTTTAATAAAATCATATTTAATGTTAGAGTGACACCCTTGGCTTCGAATTGGTTGACCCTGGCGCCTAATTTAGCAGACTACACCACCTAATATGGAGGATCGTCTACTCTTTTACATACAATTCTTAGAATCTTAAGGAAAAATTAAAAAATCTATTAAAAGTTTAAACGGTGTCGAAGGTTCGCTATCTTTAGAAACGATATTAATCTATTATTTTTTTCTTTAACGTACCTTGGAACCGTTTAAACGGGTAAGACACTCCGCGAGTGAGATCGTCCGAGACAACATTGTAGCCATCTTGGTTAAGTGTTGGCAATAGACTGCCACCAAATGCTGGCTTCGCCATCGTGTCCCCGCCTTTCTTGACGTTTTCCTTCTCAACGGTGACGTAAATCTATATGTATGTATAATGATCTGTACAGGGATATCATAATATACTCTTAATGACATATTTTTCAATAATTTTACTTACTTATGATTAGAGACACCGATTACTTTACATAATAGTTTATTATTTTCTAGGTAAATAAAGAGACGAACTTTTAAATATAACTTTTCCATACAAATTAAATGATAATCACTTGGACATTTTATTCTATTTTTACATTTACAATATACATTTTAAATTTAATACAAATTTTAATATTGTTTTTTTCTAACAATTTTATTTTATTTATTGCGATAAATAATTGTTTGAGTTTAATTTGTTTATGCATTATGTGTATGTAAGTGTGTACAAAAACCTTTAAGAAATTTTGTTTATTCATCTAAATTAATCAACACTTTGCTACCTTATCTTTTATTTTAGTTGGTTTTGCTGTGAAATTAACTTCTATATTCAAAGACTTTGCAAGATTCATAATAGTTGCAAATTTAGTTATCGCTAATCCTGCTTCTGCTAAATCGTTTATAAAAATAAGCTTCAATTTTGAGTCGAATATTAACTTTTTCGCTTTCTCTACATTAGTTCCCTTGATAAAATAATTTAATTAATTATTTACATTCAATTATATAAGTTTTCTACTTTGATACATCATTTGTCATTACCTCTAACCTGACAATTATTGGAACTTTTGTTTGCAATTCTTTAATAGCTGCAATGATTCCTTCCGCAATAATATCACATTTCACAATGCCACCAAATATATTAACAAAAATGGCCAGAACCTAGAGGTAAAGAATTTTTATAGTTTGGTATATCTATTTATTATTGATTGTTTGTTATTTAACTCAAATGCAATACATCATCAAATAAGATGTATTGTTCTTCTTCATACTTTTGGATCCGCAGTTATTATTCTAAATGCTTCTGTAATAGCCTCTTTCGAAGCGGAGCCACCAACATCTAGGAAATTAGCGGGACTACCACCATGATAAGATATAAGATCCATTGTTGCCATTGCTAAACCCGCACCATTTACCATACAACCGATAGTCCCATCTAATTGAATATAATTTAAGTGAAATTTTTGTGCACGTATTTCATTAGCATTTTTTTGAGATTGATCTTCCAAGTCAAATAATTTTTTCTGTCTAAATTGTGAACTATCATCAAAATTACATTTACAATCTAAAGCATAATCTGAAAAAAAATACTAAATTATATTTTAATTATTGTACATTCCTTGAAATAATTTAATCATTACTTACATTGACCACAAATATCTTCTGTAAGCGGATTAATTTCAATTAACAGAGCATCTGTTTCTACAAATAATTCATAAAGATTACAAACAATATTCGACACCACATCTTTGCCTTGTCCTTTAAGACCTAATTTCTGAACAATACATTCTATCAGATCATTCGTTATGCCTTTATTCATATTAATTGGTATATAAAGAACAGCTTCTGGATCAGCGGCAGCAACTTCTTCAATATTTACTCCACCTCGACTAGATGCTATCACAACAGCTCCCTAAGAATAACTTTTGTGTATGAATTAATAATAAATTAAAGTAGAATATTTAGTTTTATTAAATAGTGTCTTCACTTTTGATCATTTATATTAAAATTTAACTTATTCTTAGACTTACATCAAAAGTACGCTCTAACATCATCGAAAGATAATATTCTTTTCGTGAAAACATGCGTGTCGTCACCATAACTGAATTACAAATTCTTCCAGCAACTCCCGTTTGTTTAGTAATCAATAAATTTCCAATCATTTTTTCTGATACCTGTTTTACTTGTTCTACACTGAAGATAATAAAACAATAATATATATATAGCTGAGAGAATAAAATAGTAATATTATTTTTTATTATTTAAATATTTCTCTATTATAATTGGAGAGAAATACTTACGATTCACACATAACAACACCACCGATAGTAGTATTTTGAAAACGACCTTTCCCTCTACCACCAGTAAGTACTTGCGCTTTTACTACCAAATCATCAGATTTTAAATCAGCAGCTATTTTAGCAGCTTCATCAGGTGATCTAGCCACTCCAAATGGTGGCGTTGGAATTCCAGCTTGTTTTAGGAGACTGTATGCAATATTTTCATGAAGATTCAAATATCTTAATTGTTCTTTTATTATTGGCTGCTTTCTTCTTAGAAGCTAAAAAAATAAAATTTTTTTATAAATAAAAAATAACATAAATATAATATTTAAAGAAATCTGTTGATAAATGTACTTTTACTTTTGTTAAATAATAATAGAATAAAATATTGATATTATTACAAAAAATAATTTACCTGATTGCAGAAATTAAAAATTTGCCGTCTTATTAATAATAATGGTGATGACGACGGTAGTGACATGATTATCAATTATTATTAAAAGTATCACTTCATTAAATTTATATTAAAATTCATCAAAATAATTTCCTTATGTAAGAAATAAAATATTAGTCAACATTTATAAAAATTTAATTAATGATATTCTGCGGTTTATATAGTAATTAAACATTTTTCTTATGTATTTTTATCCATCTATCTTTTATCACACTTTCACACAAGTTACTCGTATAAATATATTCTTTGTTTGCATCACAAAATTAACAAGTCATAGTAGGCAATGATTACTGAAACGTACGACGCATGTATATATTAATGTATCTTGGTTTTATTTTAAATGATAAATACGCTGTTCAAGCAGTGTAATTAATAAGGTCAGAGAACAGACATATGTAAAAAATATAAGCATTATAATCATGCGGAGAAGGTAAAAATAGATTATAGACTTTTGGACTTTATAATCTATTTTTTTGGACATTCATCGAACTATCTCTGTTATTTATGCGTATCTTATTTTCGTACGTATAGTAGTAACAGAAAAACTAATATCAACATTTAAGGAATTATTTTTAGAATTGTGTGTACGTATAAACCACTATTAAATAGAGTATTTAACGTGTTTATTTTATTTAGTAAATTATTAATCAAACTAATAACAAAATTCTTATTCAACTTGTTTGTTTCTGCAATATAGAAAATAAATTGTATAAATAAAAAAAAAAAAGCAGATACATTTACAACTTATTAAGTATTTGCGAAAGAAAAAAATTAATTTGCAAAATAATGTAAATATGTACCTATAAGAATACACATCACTGTTATATAGTAAAAGGCAAATTATCTATCTTATGTTTTTGTAGAAGAAAAAAGTCAAACTTCGTAATTTATCAAATATTTTTTGTATATATACATAAAAAAAAAAAAGCAGATACATTTACAACTTATTAAGTATTTGCGAAAGAAAAAAATTAATTTGCAAAATAATGTAAATATGTACCTATAAGA